AGATAATGACATGTCGTTTTACATTGTGTTGTGATTAATTAACAACAATGAAAGAACGGAACTGACGATAAAATGTTGAAGTTTCGAATCGTCAAAAAATTTACCTAACTTAATTTTCCACATTGTCCCTGTTGAGTTAGTTTGGCCCAAATTTCATAAGCTTAATTAATTATGTGTTAAGGTATTCAAAAATTTCTAAAAAGTTTTCATATATTGAGAAATCGATGGAGAATTTTCTTAAAAAAAAAAAAAAAAAAAGGAAATTGATGGAGAATTGTGAAAAATCTAGAATTGGTAAATGGTCATGAAAACTATTCTAAATTTATGAGGCAATTTAAATAGCATGTTTGTAGAATTTTCCACACAATTCTGCCACCTCCTTGCATCAATTTAACTAATATAAAGCTGTTTCATCTTAAATTGTTTATACTATATTATTCCAATAATTGATCTACATATCATGTATAGCATGAAGACAACAAAATTTTCTCCAATTAGGTGGAAGTTTAAATTAATTTTCCTACTCCATTCCTTTTTAATTTTACTTCTATCTTCAACTTCTTAGTTAACTTGTTAAATTTAAAGTTTCATGAAAGATAGTCAACCAGGCATAATGTATATTGTTTTATTAAATTCTAAGTTTCCAATTTTCCATAACCTCTTATAATCAATAAAGTCATCTTTCTCAATTATGTAACACTTCTATACGTACAAGAGAAATAATGCAAGATTTGATTGATATAAGTATAATATATTTTCATCCAAAAAAAAATAATGGGATATTCTGGTCAATTGTAACTTCTATTAAGTGGTGTGGAGGACATTTAAATTAAAGCAATTACTTGCATACTTTTATATAATCATACTATGCTAGCTCTTAATTTTGAGATCAAGGTTTAATTCCGTCTCATTTCTTTAAGACATGTTGGCATTGTCATTAATATAATAATATCTATTATATGTTAGTATAAAAGCTTGTTAAAATGAATCAAATATGACCTCAATTGATTACTTCATAAATGTTTTTTTTTTCTTATATATTAAAAAGAAATTAGAAGACTATCTTAATTTGTAAGTGATGTCTAGATTCTAATAGAATGGAAAAATACTAAGAAAAAAAGAAAGAAAAAAAAGGAGGAATTACATAACTTTATAACATGTCCTAATTTGAAAAGATATGAGAAATCACCCTCTTTTTTTTTAATGTATAAATGGAATTAGTAAAGTTGAGTATTGGTAAAAAAAAAAAAAAAAAAAAAAAAAAAAAAGAGTAAAGTTGAGTACATACATACACTTAGGGCTGTTAATGAGCCGAGCCTGCTCGTGAACTGTTCGAGCTCGACTTCGGATTCGGCTCAAGAATAAACGAGACGATACATGAGCCATGCTAAGCTCGACTTGAATTATTTTTTTTATATTTAAATAAAGTTAATAAGCACAATAATAGCAACCCACTATTATACTTGGGTAAGTTATGTGACATAGGTTATGTATTTATGGGCCTAATTAAATGAGTCTAGTTTCAAATTCGAACTTATAACAAGCCTATTTTCAAACTCGAGTCCATAACGAGCTCGAGCCAAGCTCTACTTTTGAGCACTCGAGCTCAATTTTCAAGGCTCGACGAGCCTCAAGCTCGAGCCAAGCCGATTAGTATTCGGACTCGGCTCGGCTCGACTCATTAACAGCCGTACATACACTATACAACCTAAAAAGAGCAGAAGAGGAGAATTAACACTTTATAAATCAGAAGAATTACATTGATCTATTTCATCAATTAAATTTAATAAGTACGAGTAACGTTCATTAGGGTTATAAATGGAAAAAACTTATCATACTTTTATTTTCAAAATATCATATCTTTTAAAATAGCACTTTATTATAAACTAGAAGAAGTACATCTATTTCATCCATTTAACCTTCTTTTAGGCTTATAAATTGAATAATCTCTTATCGTACTTTTATTTTCAAAATACTTCGTATCATATCTTTCAAGATATTTATTTCTTGTTGTCCAATGTCAGAAAGCTAAATATGTGTGGTGTAAGCCACCTGAAGTGCCTATGGACTTGAGAACTCAGGTATTTACTTATTTATTTTATCAAAATGTATGCCTAAAATAAATTTGACCTTTTTTCCCTCATTTCTTTCCAATTTCAAACAGAATCAAACATGCCAACCAGATCCACTCATAGAGTCAAACTACCCAATAGGCCAATATTATGCTTATCAATTATAACACTGGTGAAAAGATCGATCTAGTGTGCTCCACGTTTATTTGATCAAATTTGCGCTATATATCCTTCTCGATATTACGTTCAATTTTGTACATCCAGCTTGCTCAAACAGCTTAGCCTTAGACTACAAGTGATGCAGGATCGTCAAAAGTACACAACGATTACATATAGTATAAAATTGTAGTTACGTAGAATACTACATTATTTCAATTCAACCAAAAGTTTAAACTGATGGTTAATGCCTATAATTGGTTTATATATACTCTATTATAGTTTCTCATAATTCAATATGAAAATTATATTGTTGGGAATTTCATCTCAAGTTCCACATGGAAGAAAAAGCAAGGAAGGAACTATTAATATAGTGATGCTCAATATAGTGGTACAAGGTTTTTTTGGAAAGGAGTCCAAAAACAAAATTGTGCGGGCTAGGCCCAAAGCGGACAATATTGTACTAGTGTGTGTATGAGCATGTATCGGTAGCCCGACATATATATTACTATATTAGTGGATTAAGCTATATGCACTTTGTTGTGGTTATTCATTTATCTTTTGATCTGCTCATCCAATTCAAAGTATGGTCATTCTAAACTCTAAAGCATCAATTTACGTACATATAAATTTGATCCTATAGTCATTTGCCTTTCAAATTAGCGATCTCATGTACAATTTTTTTATTTGTTAATGGAAATTAAAGTGCACCGGAATATATAGTAGGTAGACGATTGAAATGACACAAAAAAAAAAAAAAAAAAAAGAGGTTAGATTCTTTGGAAAAATGTCTAACCCACTTGTTACTTTCAACTTTAATAATGAACTCGTAAATAATGATCCATGAATCTTGCGAATCTAAAGATTTGGAAGCCAAACCCACTTGCTCTAATAACAGGATTCGGATGCCTGCAAATGGAAGTTTTTTTTAGACAACTTCTCCAATAAACAAGATTCAATATCTTCTTAGGCTCTACAGTACGCTGTAAGACTTGAGAATATAAAGCTCTCTCACTTTATTTTCAGCTATTTTCTCTTTTCTTTTAAAGTATATAGATCATCACACTTTGTATTCCCTCTGCCCCTTACACTAACACTACTCTATGTACTCTGTATTATTTTGGCGTGTTGCTTTGAAGTTTGACATACGTTATTTTGATATGTTTTCTCGCTTGCTCTCTTTTTCTCCTAATGTACAAAAAAAAAAATAAACTCATGCATAATTTTTTTGTCCAAACCTTAGTAAAATAAATATGAGAGCTAGTGCAATTATAAAGGGACGGAGGAAGTAGGTCGATAGGTTAGGATTTATACTACTCATATTATAGTTTATAGGTAGTAATATATGAATGGGAATATATTCAGTTGTAAAGTTGGGAGGTCATGGTCATGGGTGTGGGTTTCACATTTGCATGGGACTACCAATTTTATTGGTGGGCTTCTTTTAAAGTACAACGTACAAGTGTTATAGGTCCATGTTGAATCTTTGCTTGAAAATGCTCTATTTTATGTTCTTCTATATTGATTGAAAAAGACGTTGGCGCAATGCTATTAGTTTCATCTAAAATAGCCTAGATTCTCAGTTTATGAAATCATATTTAGTTTGATACAATTGGCTATAATTTACATAGTACTGAGCAATAAACATGATTAAGTTGCTTATGTGTAACTAAGGTATCAGATTCATATTCATCTCTATACAAAGAGTTTATTAATGGAAGACGTCACTTCATTTCTTGAAATTATAAATGTAATGCCCTTTCTAGTTTTTTTTTTTTTTTTTTTTTTTTTTTTTTTTTTTTTTTTTTTTTTTTTTAAGTTGGATAAGACACAACTCACACAAGACCACCAAAGGTCTAATTTTGACCCAACCCAACTAGTCTACAAAATGGATGAGTCGTGATTCAATCTCAAAATAAAATTATGAACTCGGCTAACTAATAAGATTTTGGCTAAATTAAGCCTTTTTATTAAATATAATTCTAAATTGCATTTTGCCTAGCAATTCTCAACTGCTATTTCAAGCTTGCTGGTATAACATATCAATCATTTATCCATCCAAAGATATTCAAGATTTTCGTTATCTAGAGCCAATACTGTGTATATGCATGTATCAGAAGGCAAATCATGCAGTTGATTTTATTCCTCACTTTATCGTGAGCTAATCTAGACCATCTTTTTCATGATCAAACAACTGAACAATTTAGCACTAATAAAGTCATGATAGACCAATAACACTTATTGAGATTAACTTCCGATAACATAAAAAAAGACAAAAAAGTAGAGCCAAAAGATTTTAAACTCTCATTTTACTTTTCAATAGATTAGTTCTTACCAAATAAAATCATTGGGAGATCATGTCTTACCAACTATTCCCTTCGTCCAGATCAATTTATCATGTTATAATTCAAATCGTACTATTATTATACCAAAAAAGTTTGGACGAACGAACCAAATACGGAGAGATTGGATAGGAGATGGATAGTAAGAGAGGGTGGAGAAGGGCATCAATGAGCTCATTCATACTTTCCAAAATATTCATCCTTGCACTACACTTAATGTACAATTTGCATCACCCATTATCAAATAATATACGTACTTTGCAAATACAAATATTATACTTGTTTTAAGGTAATTTCAATAGATACATAGGTACTGTATAATTGGCTCTCGCTTTTGTATTCAAGGCTTATGGCATCATAATATGTAGGAAAGAATGACATGAACTTAGATATCTTAATTGTGTGCATTGAAAGATGTTTAAAAAGGCAATTGGGACAAACAAAAAACTGAAGTATTCAAAGGGGTATTAGTTTCAGGAGAGAACTTTACTTAGATTTGTAAATAATCAAGTATTCCTCCAAAGAACTCGATCTTAATCCCTCTGTCTATCAGTAAAAGATGCAGTAAACATCAGCTTAAATTCATGCTATTCTGTTTATATATTATCACATCCCAAAAAAGGTGGTGCAAATCTTGATGTAACTCCCATTAATTCTATCTGTAGATTATGCTACATGATACTATTAAAACTTTGGCAAGTTTTATGAAAGTCAAGAATGTTCATCTGTTGACTTCTTCAATGGCAGTGCTATGGACTATGGTTACAGAATGAAGTCAAAATCCCTGCATTTTTACTACATTTGGGTTAAGTACTTCATCAGGATATGGTATATAACTTGTATCAGCAAGGTGGGTGACATTAGGGAAGGCCGAGTAGTAGACCATCAAAATTAACAGGAGATAGTAGTCTTTGCCACAGACAGCCTGTGGAGATGAGCTCGGGTGGCTGAACAACCATTGCAATATCATCACCCCTTCTATGCAGCATGCCTATGATAGTGGCACAGTCACCTTCTTTTATATAGCTGATAAGAAGCAGGTAGAGTTCCTTAAGCACCCGAGTTAAATCATACTCAGTTCTCAAAAGGGGAAAGAGTAAGAGCTGAGAGGAGTTACCCTTCTTCAAGGCGTATCACACGAGAGTTGGTTGCAAGATTTCTGTCTGTCAGCCATTTTGTCAAGTTGGGGGATAGGATTCTGTGTTTCCTTGTATTCACAAGCCTGCTCTCAATGATTAGGGGAACGATTCTACATCCGCATCCAGCTTTTACCAAAATTCGGATGCCTGAATTTTTGTCAGATATGTAGAAGTCTGTAGAGAGCCTTTGCAAAAAAAAAAAAAAAAAAAAGTATCCATTTCAAACGTTCATCAAGAAAGACAACATTTGAAATTTGATATCAGAAACATGTAGATGTCATTTGTTATTTGTAAGCACTCGAGTGTCTTTTATGAAAACTTCCATGAATTCAGTCCACAATAGAGTGTCAAGTTTTTATACCCATGTCACAGGGTCGAGGATTTGACATTGGTGCTGGATGTGAAACGAAGAGTCTGAGTATTAAATCAGCCTCTGCAGTAGTTATTCCAACCATAAGAAGGCCAGGCATATTCTAAATACTATAGGCTGAAAGCTTTAATAGATTGTTACAAACTAGGTAAGGTTGTTACAACTTCATAAACGGGCAGAAGAGGAAATAGGTGAAATCTTTATGAGAGAAGGTAGTATATGGACCTAAAAGGCAACATTCTTTTAACTAACAGCAGGACAAGTGATTCATGAACTTTAATGATAGAATAAATGATCAAATCATGACATTTTACTTACTACTGAAATAAGTTGGGGTAGTTTAAATATTATGGATACTTTCTCCCAATTTATACGTTTCCATGATAATGTGTAAGGCAAAGGCGCAAAGCCCTAGCTTTGCAGTATGAGAATGGGTACGGAAACACAATTCGCTACCTAGTGTTGTCAAATAAGCCCAAGAGTGTACCATTTCGCATTTCTCACATAATAGTTTGCAGGAGGTTAGTGAATCAGGACACAAAACCATTAGCCAATATGGTCTACCTCAAGTAACCTTGTTGAATCCTCATAACCCAGATAAACTCATAATACAATGTGGACCAAAAGAATGAGAAATCATACATTTGCCAAAGTGTGAGTGTGTGACAAACTGACAAATACATGAATCCTCGAATCCAAGTAACACAACACAGTCAGATAATCAGACTTCTGTAACTCTAAAAGTCTCAATTGACAAACAAATGTAATACTAGTATTATAACAGAACAATATGAATCAAAACCCTGCTCAATGAAATGAAAAATATAAAAACAGTAACATACCTCAGAAAAAGCTAATCTCCAGAGAAAACATGGTTGTTTAAGATTGAAAGCCTTGAATCCAAATCCTTGATATTCATACAAAAGAGTAGATATAAACGCATCCACCAACATTTTCAAAAGATGATTCTAACGATACTTCACCGCACGAAACTGGCTGACATCAACACAACACTATTATTATATTAAACATTCAGATTCTACCACATTGTAACTTACCCAATTCAAAATTACAAGCCCCAGAAATTTAAAACAATCAAACCCAAAAAAATAATACACCAAAGTAAGTGAAATTACCCCAGTAATCTTGACAAGTTGCCCATTTCGGGCGAGGCGGAGGTCGGAGACAGGAAAAGAGCGCAGGAATAGAAGAAGCGAGGTGTTACGGCGGAAGGAAACCGCATTCCAGATAATAATGGCGGCAACAATGGCGGAAAGAGAAAGCGAAGCAAGGAAGAATAGAGCATTTTTAACTTCTATAAGGATAAAAAGGGGAACACCAAAACCAATTACAAACAGAAAGATTAGAATAAAAATAAAAGTTCTTGGGATTGAAATGTAATAATGTGAAGTAGTTGCATCTGAAGAGGAAGAACAGGAGATAACATTCATCACTTATACAGTTTTTTTCTCTCTTTAAATTTTCCTGGTTTTTGGCTTTTTTGGGTGCTGTTTTTGTTTCTGGGTACTGTGTTTTCTGTAAAACTGCTGCTGGTTTTCAGTAGTGCGGTTAAATGGGTTGTGTTGTCAGAATCCGGACCCTCCGATTATGACGTTACATTCTTCTTATTTATTGGGTCGGCCCGAATGGTTGTTACATTAGTGGATTGGCCTAACAGTTGACGAGATCGGCCCACCAAGCATATGAATTTTGGAGTACAAGTATGGGTCATAAATTCATCATTGGAGATGTGACTCCATAAAACCATAATTCATGTTATTTATCAATAAAGTTACTACGGAGTAACTCCATCACAAATTGTAGCTATATGACATTGAGATTGAAGATAAAATATGCAAAAAGGGTCTCAAAATATCATGTTAAACCAGATAAACATACCCACTTTATGTAATTTCCTTCAAAATAGACGTACTCTCTAATCTTTTATGTGAAATAATGTTCCTTTCATCCTCAAATAAAAGTCTTATTTCAACCAAAATTCTTGCCCCTAAATAAAAGTTTCATTTCACCTTTAATCTTTTATTTACCTAGTTTTAATCAATCAAACACTATTATATTTCTTGTTCATACACTTCTAAATCAACCTAATTACACTTGTAAGATAACCAACTAAATCCCACTATTTTTACATAAACCTACCTAAAAACCTGTGCAAAAGCCAAATGAAGCTCTTGTTTGGAACCAAAAGAAATATAACAAAGGGGACACAATTTATTACAAGTAATAAACTAGTGAGCTACCCGTAGTATGATTTAAAAGTAAAAAAAAAAAAAAAAAAAAAAAAAAAAAAAAAAATCACTTGTCAACAAAAGAAAATTGTGGAACCTACATTTTCAAAGTTATTGTCAATGTAGGGGTACCAATTGTACTATTACTTATCTTAGGTTAATGAGGATACTTTGGACTTTTATAGGATCTAATGAATGATAGTATTATCATTGCTTTGTACAGTATATGTCATTTCTTCTTTCTTGAATGTCATTAAAGCATGATTTGATTATCAACTCAGCCTAAAGAAAGAGCACTAGTGCACTACTACATTTTGTATTAATGAGGTGATATTAGAAACGTGAAGTTAATCCCTACAATGCAGAAATGAGCTGATTTTAATTAGCACATGAAAATAAAAGAATGCATCACTAGTAGGACGGTAAAAATATGATTTGCGAACATAATTTGTAAATGCTGAAATCATCGGTGTCACTTTGTTGGAGCATATATGTTATGGCAATATAAACATTAGCAAAATCATACCGAATAAGGAGTGAGCGAATGACCATGGCTTTTTATCTGATACGAACTTAACTTACCTACTTGTAATGCAGAATTTGATTCATTGAAAAATAAAAACAATCAAACTATACTTCTACTATTGGTACTAAAAATAATTAATCAATTGATATTTGATCTTTTAACGAAAAAATGACAGCTGTGGGATTTTAACCCACGCCCTTTCGGACCAGAGCCTAAATCTGGCGCCTTAGACCACTCGGCCAAACTGTCTAATGTGTAATTTGTAATCAAGTTTATAAATATAACATATAATTATCATAATTTACGACAAATTTTATAAGGAATGTCATGATACTTCCATTGTTTTGGATAGTAGTGGGCCTAATTTTCTTTGGCAATGTCAATTCATTTTTGTCCTTCCTTAGTTTCTAGTACATGTACTACCACCTATATCTACTTACTAACCTACCCTCCTTCCTATGAAATACAATAATCATTTAGGAGTGTTTGTTTATTGTTTAGGGTGATAATATAAGGAGCATGTGTGAGTGATAAGAGAGTAGAAATGGATGAGATCTAGTTTTGAATGTAGAATTTAGGGGTACGAACATCGATAAAAACACCTTTTTATTCCGCTAATTGTATACCAGTTGATTGGATGGTGTTAGATGGAGGGATAAGAAATTATGAGTTGATAAAGACAGATTTACCTTTAATTACATAAGGAAAAAAAAAAAAAAAGGAATGAAAAAGTTTGTATAGATATTTTAATAATTTTGTCACTAATTCCAATCATATTCACAATTCATGTATAATTAATATGGATAAACGCTTTCGCTTACACAAGCACTCTATATACTTTATTCTTATCTCTTCCCAACCATTTTCGTTCTATCATTGTTCCTTCTTATCCCTCTTATTCTTGTTCTTCATAGATTACCAAACGTCCCATTTGAGCATCAATTGTGAAAGAGAGGGGAAAAGAAAACTAATGTTGTTGGCATGATCGTCATTAATTAGGGTATTTAAGTTATTTAATTTATAAAACAAATTCGTCATTAATTAGGGTATTTAAGTTATAGAAAAAAAAATTGAGGATGCCTTGAGGATTTATGAATCATGGAGTTGATTTGGCTATTTTTGTTGAAAGCATAAGGGGTATCATAAAGTTACAATCTTTCTAAATTAATAGTAATGTTTATTTTGCAACTCATCAAATCTAATACTCCATTTGTATTATTGATTAAAATAAAATTTTATTAACTAAAATAGTTTTTTAATCATTAGTATATATGTATATAATTTTTTCTTATGTTCACCTAAGTTTTCCCAATTAGAATGATTTTTACTCTTTCAACTAACCATTTTATTATATGATCGCTATGAGAAATTTATTTTACTTTGTATTGAAATGAATAGAAAAAAGTCTTAAATTACCTTAATTTTAAAAATAGCATACATCATGCATTGAGAATTAGCAAAATTGATTTAGCCAGCTGGTTTATGTTCCTAGAATGATCAATTAAATTATGGTATATAGCACTGTCAAAGTAACATTAATATTGAAAGAAGGGTCAACAATTCGATTTGCTTACATAACATGATGTTCATCCAACAACAAATTAAAATGTGACCCATCTTAGGGAACGGCAAAGAGCGTTAGTTAGTCAAAAATATGTGATGTTATATGTGGTTTTCAATTCAATACCATAGATTAGAAAACATTGGTAATTTGCAACCTAGATTGTAATATTTCCTCTGTTTATTTTTTATTTTTTAATCTATTTTTATTTTGAGGTGGTTTTATTCAAGGTATCCATTTTCTATCTATTTTTTTAGCGTCTTATTACCCCTTATCCTATAGTATTTATCTATTTTTACTTCATGCCTTTTACTTTATTCACTTTTTTCTTATACTTACTAGTTTTCAGGATCAAAGCACACGATAATTGAACCAATTTTAAAGAATAAAAAAATCCACGAAAGTTGTAGAGATTTTGTGTATGTGAACAATGTGATTGATGTAGATAAACTAGATTGAAAGCATGGGTCTTGTTCATCCTTACTTTATCTTTTAGATAAAACTGTCCTTTCGGGACTTTTATTTCATGATAAAAGAGTTGTGCTTCTCGTTCATCATCTTTGTTTTTAAAGGTCGGTATGTTGGTGGATTGGTCAGTTGATGATTTGTGGTGATTTGAGGGACGGCTGTTGTCCTTGTTATGGGCTCATCTTCTCTCTAGTGTTTTGCCTTAAAAGGTGTACTTTCCCTCTTCCCCCACACTACATTGACTTTTTTTTTTTCATGTTTGATGATTTCTTACACTCAACTCGAAATACTTTTCCGATTATAAAAAAATACGTCTAATTTTATTTTTTACCCAAAATCACGTCTAATTTTAAAACCAAATAAAAAATGGAATACTCAAAACAATGAAACTATAAGATTTGACTTAGCTATTTGTTACTAAAATGAACAAGCAAAGATCAAGTTTATTTGCTGTTTCCCGTAAAAAAATAGTTTGTTGTTATGTGTGGTCTGAATACGTTTACGTTTAAGTGAAGTTACATGACTATTCTATCATCCTCCGATGCTTATACCCTCCTCAACTCCCCCATTGTTTTATTCATGACTCGTACCTCTACCTTGTATGAATATGTACATAACGCGTATGTGCTTAGAGTGAGCCTAATTCTAGCTAGCGCGCAGCCTAAGCTATCATGGTTGCATAATTTTACTCCTTTTCTAGCTAATGCTTACAATGTACAATAACACTCACAACAAGCACAAGCACAACCTAATATGAATCTTGCCGCTAGAAGGATATAAAGAGATTAAGATGTACACAACTTCATCCCGAGCAAATTGATTATTTCCCTAGAAATAGATGTACTTATTGATCAATCATTCAAGACCAAAAATCCCACCATTGACAACTATCAACAGCTTGATCAAACAACCCATCAGGGCGAAGGTCATCCCAGCCTTCGCCCGATGTTAATGAACCATCAACTGGTTGTACCATTGTTAATATATCAGTTTCTTCTTCCATCCTAAAATAATTCGTGTTTTCACTCGATCCTTCATCTGATAAGATGCTGCAAGCTCCGTATTCTGATCCTTCTAACGATAACGCTGGTTTTGCTTCACATTCTTTGCTCTTTTTTGTATTATGATTATTAATGTTATTTTCACTCTCTGATTTTTCATCTTCCGGTTGACTTTTAATAATGCCGTTTGTCACATCATTTGTATCGTAGCACTTTCTCTCTACTTGATTCTTCTCTGCTTCATCTTTCAACTTCTGCAACTACAAAATTTGCAATACAAAACGTTAATTTCAATCTAATATAAATTTCTACTGCATAGAAAATGTGTAAATATTCTGCTTATATTCTGTAACAAAATACTGAATATTTGCTAGTGTGCATTAGTGCAAACTAGATCGTGAACGATTCATATCTCAAAAAAAAAAAATTATAATTTGTATTACTCCATTACCCTAAAATTAATTGTCACGTTCATAGTGGGAAAATAAAATATACCTGAAGAACAAGAGATTGTTTCTCCTTCTTAAGGTCCTCGAATCGTTTAGCAAGAGAGTTGTAATTGGACTTCAAGGTGCTATATTCTTTCTCAAGTTGCTTAGACTTGTATCGAGCTCGTTTGTTTTGGAACCAAATAGCAACTTGGCGAGGTTGCAACCCGAGTTCTCGAGCCACTTGGACCTTCTTCTTAGGCTCTAGTTTAGTCTCATTTTCGAATATCGATTCGAGTGACTTGACTTGTTCATCAGTAAACCTTCTCTTGTTCATCATCTTGGATTTCTTCGAATTAGGGAGTGAATTTATGCAACTAAATACATCTGAGGGTGAGTAGTAATCCCCATCATCAAACATCATTTTTACAAAATAAATAAAAATTATAGGAGTATATATATAAATAATCGATCTTGTATGATAGAATTGGGAAGATATAAATATATATATAGATCGAGTGGTATATATTTGAGAGCTAGGCTAGTATGTATTATTAGTTTTGTTTATGATGGTACAAACAAAGTTTTTATATTATTATTACACGACCTTCGTTTGAGGGAGGTCCTTCATATTTAGGTCCATGAAATATCATTTTTATAAATATAGAAAAGCCAATAAGGTATGGTAACGTGTGGTACTTTTCTTCTAGTGCCTTGCAAAAGTTGTCCATATTCTTCCATCTCTAACTCTTTTTTCTTCCCTCTTTTTTTTTATTTTTTTTTTCATTTTTCTTATTTTACTTTATTTTAGGTTTTCTCTTAATTAATTTACTTATTCACCTTACTCACGTTTAAAAGGCTTTGCTTGAAGAATTTCAAGAAAAAAAAAGTTTTATTTTTTATTTTTTTGAATGAGCTAAGTTACTCCATGCAAAGTTTTTTTACACCTTAAGGAACTTAATTAAGAGGAGATGTGATACAATCAGATCGATATCAATTATTGTACTGAGTAAATTTGATGTGTTACCAAAAGAAAATTGTATGCAATTAATGTACAGGGTAAAGTTGATGCGGTACACCAAATTGATATCAACCAATTAACGTTTAAAATTTATTTTTATTTGTTACCATTATCTTTTAAAAGATCAATTTGTACATTAAAAATAGTGAAATGTGAATGGCTGACGCTGTATTTTAAAATTCACCGGTTTAAATAGGTGGTACGTTTTATATTTGAATATTATATACCTTAAAAAGATGATTAGATAAACAAGTTAGCGGCTACCGTCATGGGTTTCAATTCTTCAAAGGTCTGTCTTGATCAGGTGATAAGGGCGTTGGAGACGTGAGCCACGCAAAGAAATAAAATAGAGTATATGCTTAAATTTGTATTCATACACTTGGACCATGTGTTACTTTACATGCTTTTACTAACTTGCTGGATAACTTTGCAAGTTGGGGACGGCCTATTTTGTCCTAAATATATGAGATTCATCTTTAAGTAATTCATTAATCATTATGTAGATTGAATTTTAAGATCTAAATTTCATATGACATGGAACTAAATTACATAACTATTCTTTATTGATGCATGTCTTTAGCTTATTAGCTTAACACATGCAGGAATATCTCTTATGAGGTGTTTTGGTTCGTTGGAAATGCAATGAAAAGCAAAAAAATTTATCCCAATTTATGGTGTTGGCCATGTTTATTAAAAAAAGGAATGCAAATTATGGTGTGCAAGATAATTGGAATTCATGAGGACAACTTCATCTTCCATTGATTTACGGAGTATATTACTCGGAGAGAGTTAATTCAAGATGAGAATCGGGAACAAGGCTAATTAGTACGTAATACTAGTATAGTGTTTTTAATAAAAAAAAGGAGTTGGTGAAGTATATAAAAGGATAATATTGTTAACTGTTATTCATTTCATATTATATATTCTCCACTTATTCACAACACACCTAATAATTAAGGGATTGATTATATACTTCTATGAATTTCTAATTACCAATCCACAATCCCTAAAATTTCATTCATACGTACATCAAATACCGAATACCTTGTTAGATACATATATAGTAGCTTGTCTCACAGACTCACACTCTCACATTAGCAGTGTTGAAAATGAAGAAATGAAATATAGTTGATAGAATGGTAGGAGAAAATACTATACAATTTGCTATTTTTCTTCTAAAAACGCTCTATAGTAACTTGAGCTAGTTGGAAGTCTTAGTAGCTTATCATAATCAAGGCTAAAAACATTTTGACACCACTAAACCTTGCGCATACGACTGTCTATACATTGAGTAGTAATACTAGTTCTCCCCTACTTTTAGTAACAACTAACCACCATAATTAAATAATGCATCTATTTCAACATGATAACTTATAATAAATTTTTAGTCAAAACTTGCAGTTTTGACAATTGATTCGTCAAATTATTAAGCTACATATATGTAAGAACTAACGTTACGACCATAATCTTATTTTGTTAAGTTAACACCATACCTACAACTTCAATTTTTCTAGGTTATTTTAAGAACTTTCCACATCAAAAAAATGAATGCCAAATTTCTCAATTCTAGAAACATTTGTATTTAAGAAAAAAAAAAAAGGTTTACATTAAACATTAAAAGTGATATTGTAACATAAATTAAGTAGTATTAAAATACATTGATCGACGTATGATTCTGTCATGTCTTCTTAAATATTACTAATTTAAGCTATCTCTTATTAAAGCAACAAATCATCAGACTACACGATCCACCCAAAATTTGTCCTTCATTGGCCATAGCCCCTATTAGTGCTTTGGTGCGGCAACTAGACTAAGAGTATTCTAATCATATATTTATGGTGTGTTTTAGAAACTTTATCTTTCTTGTTTACGCTAAACATAAGAGAAGGTTTATGTTTTGAATTGTTCTACATAAAAAAAACACATATCAAGATTATTACTGTAACTTATGATTATGAATTATTATGATGTTATTAAAAACATTAATGACAATTAAGAGAGAAAAACCAGATCTACTATAGCAGTGAGGCCTAGGGACATGTGTCTGTCAAGCTGTCAGGCATCACCCAACAGTTCTGTGACACATGTGCAACTCAATGCATTGTATCTCCTACTGTTGTCGTTTTCCTTTTTTTAATTTTTATTTAATTATGAACAAGGGTCCCACAACGTGACGTGGCGCCAAATCCATGGATCCAATTACTATACAGTATTGAGCTTATAGACTCCACAGTACACGTGTCAGTTAAGTGAGTAAAGACAGTAAACATAAAAATCAGTCATGTGGGGACCACCTTCATGAATTGTACGCATGTCTCATTGTCAATAACCTAAGATCTTATGTCGGCGTGCCACGTGGTGTTCGATCTGTGAAGTTGTAATCTTGTCAATAGTCTACTATTTTTATTTTTTATTTTTTATATTTATTTTAATATAATAAGTAGAGTAAAAATTGGAGATTTGGATCTAATTAAACAAATAGATCTCGTATTATAAATTGATTAAATTAATGTTAGCCAATGAGAGAAGAGAGATTTGGAGCAAGACTTTATGTTTTAATTTTAATACAGTAAAAAGTTTAAGGAATCTTAAGAGCATGTGTCAGGTATATGTTTGATGGATTAAAAATAATAATAAATCATGTCAATTTCATCTTAGGAAGGCGTCGTCACGTAGCCATTTATCTTTTTGTTATTGTACGATTATAACCGATTATTGGCAGTTGGACGGTTTAGATTAAAAGGTCAATTATTTTTAATTAATTCAAGTTATATTTCATAATCAATATACGACTATTTGATGATTAAAACTTTACAGTATTTCATCATTTGACGGCGCCTTATTTTGACAATTAGAGCCAAATTACGGAGTATTATATTGTTAGTTTAATCTTAAGCCACGCAATTAACTGTGTGATTCAAATGGGTAATCATGTCATTAGTTAGAAAGATAATCTAATAATTACTATGGCTAGGTATTATTTGATATTGAAGTTTGATTTCAGATGATTTGAGCTAGCACCAAGTCCTGGATAAGTATTTAATTTTAATTTCAGAGGATATAATTTTTATTTTTATTTTTATTATTTATTTATTTATTTTGACAGAGAGGGTATAATAATTTAGATATGTATCACTTTTGTATGATCTACCAAGATGTATATAGTACGTATATTATGTACAGCAGGATATGTATTTGATTCATGGTGAGATAGATGAATAAATAAATTTATCTTTAATTATGATTAAATCTAAATAATAAAAAGTTGATATATCAAACAAGATCTCACATTTTTCTTTACAATTAATCACTTAACATGGTTATGAAATAAAGAGAATAGTAAACGTCTAACAATTTAGAGTTAAATTAGACGAAGGAAGTATAAGGTAAGGGAATTGAGGCAATTCAACTTGAAAGTTACAACACATGCTTTCCTTTTAGACAGGACAACAATTTTCTACGATTGAATCTTCATTCTTATTACCAGCGATGCTTTACCAACCTATTCCTTTAGTAATAATACCATGAAAATTGTGTATGTAGAAGTTGTAATTAATCGGGTCGTTGGATGCATAGTGTTTAAATAGATAGATAGTGTGCTATATTTGATAATGTAGAGTTTAATGCTCGTCTATTATTTTAGTAAGGATGAAATTATTAGGAAAATTTGTCAAGAATAAGCAAATCTTTGTCCGGTCTTCAAAATAAGAAAATCTTTCAATTAACTCATAATAAGTTGACCTTTATAGGGTATTTTCTCAAAATAAGTCATGACCTGTTTGTTTTAAGGGTAATCAGTTGTTTGGGTTACTTATGTCACATGTCATTATGTGGTTGGACATTTTTTAAAAATTAATTAAAATTTATTATTTTAATTAATTTTTAATATTTTGTAAAAAAAATTAAAAAAAAAAAACTCTTTTTTCAAAATTAAAAATAAAAAACCTTAATTTTTTAGATACCCCCACTATAGCCAGCCCCCCTCCCCGCATTTGCCCCATCAGCCACCGTCAATACCTCCATGAGCATCGTAAATCACCTCCACCTCCCATCCCCGCCACCGAAATCAACACCCCTCCCAGCTCCACCCTCAAAATCCCCACCGAATCCACCACCCTTTGCCTTCCCCACCACCAAAAATCGCATCACATCCCAACAATCAAAGTCGCAAATCCGCATAACAACAACAACGAGGTGGGTGTTTGGTTTCGAGGTGGGTATGGTTCGGTTTCAAGGTGGATATGGTAATATTCTGGTGTTTAGGGTGGGAAATCGAGCTGTGTGGTGGTTTTCGGGAGGGTTTCTGTAAAATGGAGTTTTGTGGTGGGGTGCAAGGGTGGTTTTGAGCATTTGTAAGGTGATCTACGACTCTTAAGTGAAACTACTATAAAAGGGCCCCGATTTTTTTAATTTAGTAACATACTTTTCCTTAAAAAATTGATTTTAGGTTCCAATTTAACAAAATTGTATCGGGTCACTTTCAGTATTAGCATTTGTAGCCCCGCCTCTGGTGGGGTGGTACGGTTCAGGTGGGTTTCGGCCTTTTTGCGTGGGTTAAGATTGGTCATGGCCGGCATTAGGGAGGGGAAGCTAAGAGAGGTTGGTCGCCGGAGCTCAAGGAGGGGAAGAA